GGTCCGCAGTAGTTGTTGATGCTACGGCGTTGTTTCTTGGATAGAGGGGTGCAGTATTTTAGCAGCTTATCCGGGTCGTAAATGGCTTCTTTGGGGATTTCTCCCCCTGTAGCAGAGTCCACGAATCTAGTGAATTGTGAAGGATCTACACACTTGATGGTTCTCAACCCATTAGTTTGCCTCTGAATTTTAATCCAATTAGTAACCTTAGATAGCTTGCTAGGGTCGGTTAGTTCCTTGGAAGACAGGCGCGCTGTGGCAGAATTTGCTCTGTACATGAATTTAGAGTCTTTGGATGAACTAACAGTCCAGCCATTTCGCTCAAAAGTGTCCTGGGAGGCAAGTTCGATGTGGTTGAAAAACGATGGTACGACTATCCATCTGATTAAGTGAAGAATACCTGTGGAGGTATTTGATTCATCCTTAATGCATGCAGGGCCAAGTCCAGTCATGGTGCCCTTTGCGACAATAGACCCCATAGTGATAGGGATATCGATCTTTTCAATCGTGGAGGGAATAAGTCCACTGGTGGTCTTCTTGAACCATCCGGTAGAACCTGAATCGAGAATTAGGAGGTTCTGTGGAAAATGATTATTTAACCACTTGAGTCCAGCTGTTACGAAGCTTGATAAAGTGTTATAGAGTGCGGATGAGATTTCAAACGGGGAACCTAGTTCGATTCCTCCCCTGACTGAAAACTTTGGGGGTCCTGGGATGCTACATGGGCAAAGTAGCCATCATCTTGTCCTTCCAGCGTATTTGTGAGGTAGGTGATGAGCTCTTCTCCATCAAGATCATCAGACACGTAGCTACCTGTGATAAACACTGCACGGTCAATAAGGTGTTGTGTCAGTTCATGAGCCATGTGTAAGGCGTTTGCCTTTACTTTTGAGTTTTGGCGATTACTAGTCAAAGCATTGTGTGCTATCTGGTTTAGTTCTTTGATCAGTTTGACTACATCGTCAGTTGCCATTGTCCTAAACTGACTTTCTTTAAACGTCTTGGAACGGATTGTCCTCAGGTCGTCCTTAAATTTCCGAATAGCGTCGGCGTCCAATTGCTCCAAGCTCGGATCCATTCTCCCCCTGCAATTGAGCGCGGGGAAAGAGCGCAAACGAGAAGCGAACGAAAAGAATGCGTGAGGTCTACGCAGAGAGACCGAGCGCTGGGTCCCAAACCTAACGAGATAGTAAACTCCGACACGGGGAGGCAGCCTAGTGGGGCTGCCCTGCCGTGTGAGGGTGAACTATCGAGGTTACGCAGTGGCGGTACACCGGCGTCTCTGTTATCCTCACGTCACCTCAGCTGCCGTAGTGTACGGGGGCTGGGGCTACTGGACGAACGGGCAGAGGATCTGCCTCACTAGGTCCAGGAAGACTCTCCGTCTATTACAGTGCGGGAAGCAGCTATAACAGGGTTAGAAAGTATTAAGGAGGGGAAGGAAATTGGGTGGCTCTGTACCAGCGAGCCACTAGGGAGATACAAAACTCTCTATCTCTCTAGGGGTCACGCCGGAACGCAAATTGAGGCAAAATTGGTGACTTATGGCCCCGGCCTAATTGTCGTTGCAACATAGGCGTGGGGAAGTTCAACATAAAATTACCATGCCCGGCTCGACAGCCACAGGTGGCGCAGCAGTGTTATGAGTTCCATGGGGGGCATCAGTTGTGAGCTTGTTTGAGCTCTAGAGCTCGAACGAGTCGATTCTCAGCACTCGTTTTGTTTGTTGTTGAGCCTTTGCATACCCTAACTCGGGACTATGCTATCCTCCCTATGCTGGGACGCTCATACTGGCCTATGCTGGCTATGCTTAGTCTGCCTTATACTGGCTATGCTCATGCTATACTATGCTGGTGCTTCAAACTAGCATACTCGGATTCTAACAAAATTTGCGCACTCTCTAACTCCGCAGCAAAGATCGACGACGTCGATCTTTGGGCAGCCCTCGAACTCCTCGATCTGCCGCCCCCCATGGGCCGCCGTAAAATCAGCCCGCTAGGGCGCGTCTGGCGGCTGCCGGCGCAGCGCAGACCATGATTACGCTACAGGCTTCATCGATGGCGCGCGTGCCGCATCGGATGGGCGGAATCGCTGCGGCGCGAGGGCGGGGCAGCCCGTGGCGACGATTCGGCGGCTCAGAAGCATGGCACGGCTGAAGGCGATGGTACAGCTCGGCCGTGGGGCGACCTGGGACCTCCTCCTCGCGTCCCTCGCGCTGGAGGAGCTGTGACCTTCGCGGTGCCCCCCGCGGGCCGCCGCGGTGCCCGAGCACCGACCACACCAACCCGACGGCTTTGAGCCCCACAACCCAGCCCTTGCAACGAAACGATGCGGAGGTGACGAGAATCGATCCATGACGCTGCGCAGCCTCGAAAACTGCTCGAGGGGGGTGCTGGAGCCGAGCGTGTCCAACCCCACTCCTTAGAACCGCCCGCCCGAGTCGCCACACAATCGCCTGGATGTCTTGTTTTCACCACTGCTTCGTCCGTGCGCGCGCGGCCCTCGAAGCTGCTGGGATCGTTGCGCAGCTCCTCATATTCGCGGAGCTGTGGGGCTGCAAAGACGACCATAGCATATTCAGGCGCTCCTGAGCGCTCTCTCGTCCTCGATGTAAAAACTACTATTTTATTTGGGGGGCAATATCGGATTTACAGATAGTAGCTTGGCCCACGAAGCAGGCAAGTACAATGTACTCACCGGCTCAGGAGGCCGGCAGTAACCACCCCACGACCAGAGGGGGCCGACCACCAGGCATACACCAGCCACGGCATACACCAGCATAGCAGCCGCATAGCAGCCGCATAGCAGACGCATAGCGGGCGCATAGCGGGCGCATAGCGGGCGCATAGCAGGCGCATAGCAGGCGCATAGCAGGCGCATAGCAGGCGCATACCACCAGCATAGCAGGCGCATAAGACCAGCATAGCAGCCGCATACCACCAGCATAGCAGGCGCATAAGACCAGCATAGCAGCCCACCAGCATACCACCAGCATAGCAGGCGCATACCACCAGCATAGCAGCCCCATACCACCGGCATAGCAGACGCATACCACCGGCATAGCAGACGCATACCACCCGCATACCACCCGCATACCACCAGCATACCACCCGCATACCACCCGCATACCACCCGCATACCACCCGCATAACACCCGCATAAAGCCCGCATAAAGCCCGCATAGCGGGCGCATACTACCAGGCATACCGGCGGTCAACCCCCTCGGCCCACGACACCAAGCACCACTACCCCACCCACCCTGAGTCGCGCAGAGTGACACAGAGTATGTTAGGAATGTGTGAGAGGACCAGTAGAGCCGGTAGAGGCTCGGTAAGGCCGATGGTGAAGGCAGGGTAGGGTGCTCCTGTGTGTGTGGTGTCTTGTGCTCCCCCGCAGCGCGCAGGGTGAGCCA